AAAAATAAATTTTATTCAGTGGGTATGGATCAGGGAAATCTGGATCGTTCAGAATAGCTGCAGTGTGGTTTTCATATTGCATAATGACAGAGGTGATTTTTTTCAAAGTATATAACATGAGTAGAAGCAACTGCGCTACAAATAATTTATGACTAATGAATTTCCCCTGGTTACAAATTGTCCATGGGCAGGATAGTATTTTATTGGAATTCCTGTGGCAACACCCAAAATTGCTGGACAGACATGTTACGGGAATAATGACCTTGCCATTTTGCCTGTAAAAATAGAAGTAGTTGTCTGGACTGTTGTATTATTGATAACTCTTTTCTTCCTCAAATATTCAGAATTATCTTAGGGCCAGGATTTCCCACTTAGTTGCAAGACTTCTAAAATTGGGGAATTTTTAAGATTTAAGTTATCTTGGTGTTGCCTGATTGCACTGACAGAACTCGTGTATGCATGAAATCTGTTCTTCTGTTTGTCTTAAAGCTAGTCTATGACCTTATAACAAGCTAGGAACTAATAGCAGAAATCCAGATTTCTGATCAGAGCCCACCTGACAACCCCTTACCCACACCCAGTGCGAGGACTCTGCCAAGGCTGGTCTCGAAGGCCAGCCTCTGCCGAGAGAGCCCGCTCTCCCAGGCTCCCTCAATAGTCAGTAGAGAGGAATAAACTCCCTTAAGGTGGGCAGCTCAGAGCAGAAACCCAGTTCAGGCACCTTCCAGGAATGATTTATCGATTCTAGGGAGGCTACGTTGGGATTTTGCTTTGAATTACCTGGGAGAGGAGCCTGCCTCTGCTGATTACAAAGGCGCTCTTCAGTACACAGCAAAGCCTTGCTGATGATCAGGTAAAAATGAGTTTTATGGATTGCTCTGTGTTACAGCTTCTAAGCCTGCGTAGTTGCCTGCTTTTATCACTTGAAATGGATGTAAACCTTGTGCAAAGGGAGGAGGAGGAGGGTTACACTTTTTACTTATTAGGATTTATCCAGAGGTGTGGAGAATAGATGTCTGACCTCTATACTTGGGCACTTTTAAAATTGATGCTAATGTACCAACCACCACCACATCTTCATGTTAATCTCATGAATTGCACGTGAATCTGGAACCGTGTCTCTCCAGAGAAAGAACGGCATATTAGCTGTAACCACGTGGAACTATTGACAGATTGTGACTGTAAAGCAGAAAAAAAGGTGAAATAACAGTAAAGAGATGTCTCTCTTCCTGGTATATATTTGCCTTATGTGTTTCAAAAGGCTGGGAACCATCCTTGCTTGTGCCAGAAGCCTGTTGTCACTTAGTGCTAGGCTGGTTGTGTAACCAGCCTGCAAAGGGTTCAGGTAACGAGCTCTGTCAGGAGCGCAATTGGAAATGGTAATTGAAATTGAAAGTGGTGTCTCCCAGGCTCCCTCCCCTTCGGTAACTCTCGACTCCTGCTCGGAAGTAATCAAAACAAGGGGGTGAGGGGAGGCGTCTAGAATAAATTGGTTGTCAAGGCGGTTCTGGTATTGATCGAGTTCTGCTGTTTATGTGAAATGGGCTCATTTCTGTGTGGCACTCAGTTTTACTGCACGGCGGGGGAAGAAGCTTTTTGGATAATACCCTTTCCACACTCATGGCAGTATAGTGAATGCTTCTGTCCCCCACCCACAATAATAGCGAGGGAAGAAATAAAGATTTATATTAACTGAGTTTGAAAGTCTTCCCCAAAATTGGACGATATAATGTACAAGCCTCCTCCCAGGGTTTGCGGTGGTGCTCGGCTTTGTTAAGGCTTAAAATATCTTCTGCCTTGTTTGTCCCTGAACGTTGTTTCCCACTATCATTTTCTTGTTGACAATATCCAACAATCAACGTATGCTATAAAAAAACCCCAATACGGCCATAATCCCCTCCTAGAAGGGATGGGGAATCAGCTATTAAGACTTGGAAAGAAGGTGAAAATACAGAACACACATTAATACTCTTCTGACAATGTTTATGGCCCTAAACCTCTCAAAAGTAATTTTGCAAATTTGCTGCTGCTGTTGTTACTCTTTGCAGCCTCTCTCTGGGGCTGCCCACCCCAAGAGGTGAACCTGTAGCTTTTGGTATTGAGGACCCTCGATGCCTTCTGCTTTCGTCCCTGCAACAGCAGCCCTAATTAGCACGTGTGCACATGTGTGCACAAACACGTATGCACAAAATGTCTTCTCTTTAATTAGGCTCTGTCTTCACCTAGTGCCGTGCCGATAATCCTTTGCACCTGTCAGCTGCATGAGTGTCCTGGTTTCGGCAGGGATAGAGTTAATTTTCTTCCTAGTAGCTGGTACAGTGCTGTGTTTTGGATTTAGGATGGGAACAAAATTGATAAGGCACCGATGTTTTAGTTGTTGCTAGGTAGTGCTTACACTGGCCAAGGACTTTCTAGTTTTCCATGCTCTACCGACTGAGAAGGCTGCAGGTGCACAAGAAGCTGGGAGGGGGCACAGCCAAACTGGCCAAAGGGACATTCCATACCATGGGACGTCATGCTCAGTACATAAACTGGGGGAAGCTGGCCGGGGGGGCCGCTGCTCAGGGACTGGCTGGGCATCGGTCGGCGGGTGGTGAGCAATTGCACTGTGCATCACTTGCTTTGTGTATTATTATCATTATATTATTATTATTATTATTATTATCATCATCATCATTTTATTTCAATTATTAAACTGTTTTTATCTCAACCCACGAGTTTTTCTCACTTGTGCTCTTCCAGTTCTCTCCCCCATCCCACCGGGTGGGGGGGAGTGAGCGAGCGGCTGCGTGGTGCTCAGTTGCCGACTGAGGTTAAACCATGACAATGAGAGATTACTGAAATTGAAAGCGAGAAACCTTTCGGCAGTGTGGTGAGGCCAGGCATGCTGGCTAGTTAATGGGAGATACTGGGTTAGGGCCTGGGAACTTCACACGGGTGCCTTTAGGAACTGACAACAGCAGAGCGAGTAGGTATCTCGAGCTGTTAGAGAAACTGGGAGCTAAGACATAACCTGTCATGTCGTATCTGCTTTATTTGGTTAATAGACGGTGTTTTAGAGGAGGCAAAGTCGGACTCAGAGGCATCAGCTGCCAGTTGGAGTGCGTTGGTATTTAGGAGGGATCCCCAATCCCTACATCAGACATCTGAGCATCTTGGAGGGAAAGGCTGCGTCCGCTGCAGGCGGCGCTTGCGGCAGGAGTGTTGGTGTTCCAAAATTTTGCTTTTCATAGAGCTGCTTCCTCCAGCTAATCGAAAAGTAGCACAACCCAAATTTCAGTGTATCTTCCTTGATTAATTAGTGCTTTCATAGTCACCCAAATTTCATATTGATTTTGCTAGAGGAAGTCAGGCGGGGATTTTGATCATACCTTCTCAGCCTTGTACTTGACAAGCTCCTGGTATATGCGTGTGCTTCTGTGATGGGGTGACCTGGGTTCATCCTTTGTGTGAGTGAAAAAGAGCCATGGGCGAGTGCTGGGAAAGCTTAGGCCTGTTGGTGCATAAGAAACCTCAGGAGAAAACCACACTCGTTCTCCTCAATTCCCCGGAGAAGCGTCAGGGATTTGACGCGCCCGCAAAGGGGCCATCTCAGGCATTCACTGACATGTGGAGTTCAAGGTCACAGATGTTTACAGGCATTTTGACTGTTTGTACGGGGAGATGATTTACACCAGTGCGGAAGAGGTGGAGCTGGTGATATGAAGGATTTCTGCAGTAGAAGTAAGAGCTATCAGAATGATGGGCGATGTCTCCATCACTGTAAAGTCATCCATTGCACTTTCCCCCCCGCTCACTAAAATGGCTAATTGAGCTTTCCGGTTGCTATTTTTTGTTGGTTTCTGTATTTGCTGGGTCCTTGTTTTAGTATTTTGATGCTTGGTAGGACCATATACAGTGCGCTGGAAGTTGCCTGTGAGAATAGCATTGCCAACATAGCGAGCACAGAGGAGACTAAAATCTCCATGAAAAGGTATTGGCTTACAGATATGATTAGAAGGAAAACTGGCTGAAAACTTCAGGGATAGATACATGTTTATGGACAAAATAACTGTAGTGCACTGAAGTGCATTAAAAAAACCCCACTCTAGACTTCCACAGAAAGGGGAAGGAGGTGTTTGTGGGACTGTGAACGTTTAATCTCTGCTGCTGAAGAGGTAAATTATTTCAGCTTAAGAGAATTTCAGTTTTTGAGATGTCGCGTCCTTGCTACACTTTGCTGTCTCATAATAACCACCCAAATGTCTGGATTGCTTAGCAACCAATAGCTTTACATCCTGTAGTTCAACCACAGGATAGGTGCAACAGGCTTTATAGCGGCCACAAAAGCAGAGAAATAGTGTGATGGAAATTAACTAATAATTGGCTTCTCGGCACTCTGAATGGCAGAATATTAGAAGAACTGTGTATGAAACAGCAAAACCACTTTTTTTTCCATTTCAAATATTGTTAGGAGATTGGATCTAAGCTTCCAGACAAGCCTGAGGCAGAAGAGATAAAAATGTTGAGTTGCAGTGATAAAATGCATTTTCCTAAATTCAAATTCTAGTTTGTGTCTGACTACCCGGTATATTTGAACTATCACCGTATCTATTTTTATTCTGCTAGCTAGAGAAACTTTATAAGTGTGATTAGGTCCCCATCATATATTGCATTTTATGAGCAGAAGGGATTCTTCAAAAATGATGAGAAAAGAATGGCAGGGAGGCAGAAGCACACGCCATGATGTGGTTTTAAGAATGCCAGTTAGAAAAGAGTGCAGATCGCTACAAATATTCAAGCAATTATTTTCAAATCATGTTCCTCCCCCTATATCTTCTGCCCTGTTCTCTAATGGCTGCCACTATACGGCAGCAGAGTCTATAAAGGTAAGAGCATGCCAGAAGAAAAAGAGAAAAAAAACCAGGCATACGGAGTCTAAGAATTATACGTTAATCAGGTACTGTAAGTACTGATTTTTCTCCATCTTTGGCTTGTAAAAAATGGCTTGTCTTGTAGGGAGGCAATGGAAAGAGGAAACTTCTGCGGAGCCTATGAAAGTTGACCTCGCATGTGAAGCAGCAGACGTTTCAAATAAGGATGGTATGTTGTTCTAATATTTTAATTGTCCTGAAGTGCTTATGTAGCATGCCCTTCTGGGGTTTGTTTGTACGCTTCCCCCAAAAATAGGAGTTATATTTATAATCTCTTCAACTGAGTCTTCTTGAGAGTTTACGCAATATCTACTGTCTTGGAAGTCTGGTGGAAGTACCTTTCAGTGTCATACCCCTGCTTTTGTAGTTGACTGGGTTTGTGTGTTCGATTGGTACGTCCAATCCGCTTGGCTTTAAACTAAACAATATTTTAGGCCCACCGTAATTTTGGCTTGGATATTGAATTGGCCAAGATGTGTGTGGTCTCACACAGGAGTCAGAAGATATTTCTGAAAATTTCTGTGCTAGTGCCCGACTCCACCGTGGGACAAGTGTTGGCTGTATAACCACTCCGAACTCGTATGTTGGCCTCCTCCTACCTCGGAGCTGATTTCCCTTCCTCCTCCTCCTCCTTCAGAGTCCATGCATAGCTCAGTCTGGTAGCAGATGGAAGTCCTCTCCCTAGGATGTTTGCTATTGATAAAACTATTACAATTTGGTGACCCAACAGCAGTTCTAGTCAGGTTTGTGGACATTATCAACCTGCATCTCCTGACTTGGAAATGAAATTTTTTTGACATTGACCTCAGTGAGCAGATGACCCAGCTGTCTGGCAAAGTCCCGGCAAGGCCTGAGTACCAGGACACTGCTCGGGCTCTGCAGTGCGTAACGTATTCGTAAACAAAAAAATCTGTCCATCTAGGCTCTTCCTGTGTGTAAAGAAATAATAGATGGGATCAGTGTCCTGGTGCTTAGGTTTTGGTGAGGCAGACCCTTTATCACTCCTCTAGATCGGCTCTTATAGCTTACCAGTGCTATGTAACGGGTTTTCTTGGTTTTTACACAAAGGGTCCTCCATACTGCTCCAAACGGCAGTGGGTTTGGAATTGGGGTTCCAGTCCTTGTTTTATTATCGTGGACTCCTCTCTGTAGCGAAGGCGGATTTTTAACTCCTCCTCTAACCTCTTCAGCATTGACACAATATAAATTCAAGGCATACTTTTTTACATCTCGAAGACAAAACAATTATATTCTTCTTGATATTAGTTACACAAAGAATCTAATGCTGATTTCCTTTCTCTGATGTCAGATCGTGCTGCAGCATTTGAATCAGTGGCTGATTTAGGTACTGGCCTGTAGGGAGGTTTTTGCAAGCACAGGAAAATAAAACGTGCATAATGGATTTTCTTTTTTAAAAAATACTAGAGATTATGCTATTACTAGTATGTGTGCAGAATAAAGCCAAACCAGCCTTCTCTCCTCATCCTCTGAACAAACGAACCAAAAAGTCATAGTCACATTAAAATATTTGAATTTCAAATCCCTGCAATGGTCTGGGCTACTTAGTGAAAACAAATCCAAATTTACTAAAAGAATATCTTAAGGGATTTCTCAATGGAAAGAAAAGGAATTGTACAGCTCTTATAGCGTGTGCTGTAGCACAGCACAGCTGGGTCAGCTGACAGCTTCTGAAATGACAATCATGATAGGTTTCTTTGTTTCAAATCTCGCTTATCTTGTAAGGTCTTCTACATTTAACTCATCTTGTAACTTCCTTCTCTCTGAACTTTCTAAGTTATATGCAAGGACAGGAAAAGGGTGTTTGCTAAAGCTGCAGAAAAATACTCTGCTGTTCAGGGAAGTCTTCGTTTCTCTACAGCTTCAGTTGCTATTGGGATCATGTTACAGGGTGGTTTTTCTTGTGGACGTCTATTACAAAAATCAACGTGTTTACAAAAATCAGAACAGAGGAAGGATCACACTTCCCATACTCTGTTTCATCTGAAGGTTAAGTTTTGCTGAAAAAAAGCCCTAAAATTTTTAAATATACTGGGTACTAGTTGAGATTAAAAAAAAAAACCAAAAAGGTTCCCTTTGACAATAATATTTATGTAAATTGCCTATTTTTTCTCTGGTCCCCTTCCTTCTGCCCCAGGAGAGCTCATCACTTCACAGCTGAAAGCACAAGCATATATCACCAGGTGCCCCTCGGCAGCCCGGCTCTTGTGGTTTAATTTCATGTACCATGTCACAGCGAAAAGTGCTTTAGAAATGCAGAGAGTTTAGACAGCTTAGGTGGATCTCGATATTGGTTCATCTAGTGGGCAGGGCCATAATAGTGATATATTTCAGAAATTACTATTATTTGAAAGCTGGGCGTGATTCTCCATCAGGAAAGCTGTCAGAGGGTGCGTGTGTAAGCCTGAAGGAGGGGGCGTGTATACAGAGATACAGATTGCTGCTGGCAATCTCTGTTGGCCACCAGAGCGAAGACCCCTGGATATTAAACTTTTCGTACCCAGGACAGATTTGCTGATTAATATTTTTTAATGATGACAAACCCCACCTTTGGTGATCGGTTTCCTAGATGGTGTTTCCCTGCCAGCAGCCTTTTTCTATTCTTTTTTTTTTTCTTTCTTTCTTTTTTTTTTTTTTATGCCGCTGAAGCTTTAAAGATTACTAAGGTAGATGTTAGTTTCCAGCTGGTATTAGGCGGATCAAATTCTTCACTCCTTTCATACTGGGGTTACTCACTCACCTTTTTTATTTCAAGCCTGTGGAAAGCTGCATCCTCATTTGCTGACACAATAGGAGAAAAGAGAAAGACGAAGGCAGTGTCAAACCTGAAATTTCCCATTTTTTTTATAAGCTTGTGCAGGGTGATGAATGCGACAGCAGCAGCCTGACCTTCACGTGATTCACCAAAGCAATATAAAAGGAAGAGCTCAACAGCTAACACCCTCGTGCTTTTTATGGTGTTGACGTAATATCCAAGAAACAAGTAACTACCAAGTAAACAGGTGCACATGTTTCATCACCGCACAGCGGGTTGAATTCAAAATAGATGGTTATCTTTCTAGGCAGTCTGGAGTATAGCTGAAGGTGCTATAGCCAAGTTATGTAGATGCACGGGGAAAACATTGTGTAGGAAGTGGCTGAAGAAATAGGTTATGTTTGCAAGTAAGAGTCTGACTGAGCTCCTATTTAAATCACGACGGTACTATTTTGGTGTCATCTGCCATCCAGGTCTACAGCATAATATCCTGGGGTGGAGAAATGCGCTCTCTCTTGCAGACAACCCTAAACTTGGTTTTCCAGTCCCCTGTTTGCCTGTCTTCTCTACTTAGATGCTATGCTGTGACTCTTGGCTACCTGACCTTTAAGCACATAGCTTTCTCGCAGGGGAGAGGCGGGATGCCTTGCTCCCGATGCACATCCACCAGGTCAGCAGCAACTGCAGTGCTTTGACGGATGTGAACTACGTGCTGGGTTATTTCTTCTCCTCTTGCGGGGAACTTGGTTGCTTTTGCAGGGAAATCCTTCCATGGTCATAATTTGAGAGCTGCTAAGCAGCTCAGAGATTGAGAGAGGAGGTGCAGACGGGTCCTCCCCAACGGGCCAAAATTTAAGGGAAAACGCACAGGGAGAGTGCAGAGGAATGTCCGTTGACACAGAAATGTCAATTTCTGGCATAAAAAGCCCCACAGGAAGCTGCAGAAGGAGGAGCAGGTAAAACTGAATTTAGGACATGTGCAGCCTCCCTGAACTTCAAGTGCTTCACGGAGCTGCTGGCTGTTCTAGCGTCTTACGGTAGGTGCAAAGAGACCGCTAACGTAAGTTAGCAGTTTAACACCTCCAAAAACATTGTTTAGTGGGGAGAAGGCCAGTTTTGGCTTGCGGTGCGATCAGATGTAGCATGCCCAGGGCTAACGGTGTCGTTCTGACACTGACTCGTGCTGGGAGGCAGCGAGGACTGTGAGTCACATCCCCGCCGTACCCGGTGGCAGCTCTTCCATCTGCTCTTGCAGTAGGTGCTTTGCTGACGTGTTATTTTCTGGCTAAATATAGAGGACTGTGTAGGTGGCCTCGTAGTGACATCTGTTGTTGGGGTTCACCCAGTGGTCTGCAGATCCTTCAGTTAGATCCTCCTGTCCCTACCACCGTTAATGCAAAGAGCCGAGCTTAGTCACAAACACATAGGAAAAAGCTAATAGCGAAACCTGCCGGTGCCTTAGCGCTTGCGAGCCACCTCCCCGCTGCGGCGTGCACGGCAGATGCTTTTAGCGCCAGTGATGCAGGATGCCTGGCTGCCATTTCCACGGCAAAACAGTGGGACTGGGTGATTCCTCTTGCTTCCTCGCCAGTGGGGGCTCCAGGTCCCAGGCCTTCGCCGGGGCTCCCCCATGCTTTCGCATTGCCCTTAAAGCATTCCCGGGCAGTTTGCAATTTGCGCCCCTCTATGTGACGTTCTATCAGGCACGATGGGGGTCGACTGCTCGTAGCCATAAAAAAAGGAAGGGGAAGGAGGCGTACTCATCTGGGATGCTGACAGAGCCTAATCACAGGTTTCAAATCAAGCTCTATTTTGCAGGGTATCTCTGTAAAATGTGAGTGAAGCCTTATGGTATTTTCAGAAAACCCAGCCAGTGAAACTGGCCGGCATAATGAGGCTGAGAAAGGCTGCTGTCGTCAGTGTGTGGCAGCCTTCCCTTAATGATTTTTTATTAAGCATCCTGTCTTTGCTATGCAAATGTGGGTAAAGAACACAACATCGCTAAATGCGATGTGCATCAGAGCTCCGTAATCAGGAGCGGATACTTTCCTTATTATTCATTGCATACATCCAGGAAGCCATTACAGTATCTGTTCTGCATATGGATGATGAATAATTTACAAATAATTCATCAAAACCCTAACAGGTGTATTGACATGATATTAACTCAGAAAGAGATCATACTGCCTGGCTGAAAGTAGCATAGCTATTGATTTGTCGCTTTTTTCCCCTCCCCTCTCCCATCTTCCCTTAGTTTCCAAATCTCCCATTCAGGTTTGAGGCTTTTCCCCGTCACCAACGTCAAATGACTCGTAATCTGCAGTTGATACCGCAACATAAAGCAAGGTTAAAGAAAGAAGAAAGGTCTTAATATAGATGGCTTCATTCAAATTCATTGCAGAACAAATACTAAATACTAATCTTAAAAATGCACATGCTGAAGTAACCCTTTTATGCTCAGCCAAATAGGACCAATCACGCCTGCCATAGTTTAGATGCTATTTTTGATAAAGGTCACACTGAACTGAGTTTAAGACTTCTATTTAAATTATTTCTTATTTTTTTGTAATTTTAAACGAAAAAATTAAGATTGGTTTTGTAAATGGATAGTACACGAGCGAACTAGTATGTGTAGGAGTATAGTGACGTGGCCCCCGAATCTTCTCCCAGGCTCCAGCAATTTGCAGTTCAAGGACACCCAGAGGCAGCAGCAGCATCTCTGTGACTGGAGATGGATCCGTGTTCAGCCCGCAGCTCAGCCCCGGGTCCTGCCGGGGACTTTGTCAGAAGCCTGCGAATGTTCGAATCGCGGGGTCGAGACCACTTAGTCTGGCGAAACTCTGAATCATCCTTTGGAGATACTATATCTCTGCCTGTGGCCTACAGAGACGGAGGAGGGTCACAGTGGTCTTGAGCTGGGCACCTCGGTTGGGAGCCAAAGTCAAACTGGATGGATGTGGACCAAAGGGAAAAATCTAGATCCAGAGGCTTGCATTTCTAGCGATGCTGAAGCCTACACCCTGGCGGGACTGCTCGTTGGGGTTTCCGTGTAAGCGCAGGTTAGGACGGCTGGCCTAAGAGACCTTTTTGCGGATTTACGGTGTAGAATTTTTAATGCAATGAATGTCCCCTTTGGGTTAGAAGCGGTTATTACTCGATGTGATAAACTTAACGAGTATCATGAATAGAATTTGCTGACTGACTCGTTTTGTTTTCAGCTGAAATGAATAGTCAAGTTGAAAGTATAAATGATCCTATGGAAACAGAGCAGGAAGCTTAAGTAACAGGTGAGACCTTTATGGCTATTTTTTCCCCCCATTTTCCATTCACTTTCTATTTGAAAACTTCCTTTAAAAATGACCTTAATTAAAGTTAGAATTTACCAAGAAAAAAAAAAAGGAAGACAGAATGCAAAGGAAAAGAAATTGTCTAATACGGCCCATATTACACCAAAAAATGAAAATATCCAGTAGACTTGATTTGTCAAGTAAATATTATAGTAGCAGTCTGCAACTGTAATGGATTTAGACAGTGCACGGTCTTAGATCATCAGAAGGCAAGACAGCACCAAGATAAGGAATGGAAGAGTAACCGAGTGAACAATTTTTGGCATTGCTTAGGAAGATGACAGGCAATTTATACCGGTTGGAACCGAGCTCAGTTCTGTACGATCTGTATTCTGGGAACAACAGGTTCACGTCACAAGGGGTTTATTGCCCTTGGCTCTCCGATGCCTAACGTCACTTGTAGCGATACCACTGAAAAACGAGGCAAAGTCAGCGAGCTGCCTTCTGGAGCTCTGCCGCCTTTTGGAGCTTTTTATAGCTTTATATGCTAAATGATAGTGCTACGGCAGGAGCGTGCAATGGTTGTTGCCACAGAGTTTGTCATAAACAGCCTCACCCCTGGATAAAAATGAATAATTTGGTAGGAAGACAGAAGTCTGAGCCTTATCCTCAATTACAAGAAGCAGTTGCCATTTCTCCCTGAAACGTAGTTTTTAAGTGTTAATGCACACCGCTTCCTTTGGCGTAGGGTTATCGTGAGATGCCAATATCATATACAGCAAGATGCATTACTTATGCTTGTAATGGGATTTCATGTAGCTCAAGACCAAATACAGCGGCTTTACAACAGCGGCAGCTGTATCACAGAGATTTAAAATACAAGGTGTTATTACTGAGCATAGCCCTTTGTCCTTGTCAGCAGATAGACGATGGGCTGCTGTACTGCTGGAGTGAGAAACGGGCCCGATGGGGTCCCTGGTAAAAAGTACTGAAGCAAAACTAGAAGGCACCCCGCCATTAAAATACGGCTTCCGCAACTCTTCCTTCCCCCTCCCTTAGCTTCTGGTTGTATGTTCTGTCCAATCAAAAAAGGAAGAGGAACTAATGAAATCCTCACTGTTAAAAATACATGGAAAGGTTAATACCCTTCCTCAGTTTAAAAAAATATATCTGACGCTTATTACTGCTTTCACACGGCCTGTAGGAAGTCTGTGTTTCATGCTGCATTTTCCCATGGAAGTGAATATCTGTGAATGTTTTGGGCTGGAGTTGCTTTAGGAAGGCAGAGTTCACAGGAATAATACCACAATTAGCAATCAATTAATATATCTCTTCAATTCCACTGCAAGACCTGGCTCTGCCGGCACCTTTCTGAAGGAAAGGGGCCTGAGCCGGGGCACACCATGTCTTGCCCAGCATTTTAATGGCACGCACAGGATTAGAAGCAGACATCGAATCCTTCGCAGCTCTCTATCGAAGTCCTCCCAACCCTGTTGCCGCTGTTTTAATTGCAAGGAGCGGGTCGCGGGGGAGGATTGATCAGCCTGTTAAACTTCAAAGGTCTCGCTAGGCTCTTTCAGAGCCGAGGAGATCCCTTTGCTTACTATGTTTAGTATTTTAATGTGTTGTTTTTAACGTATGTCCTGTGGTCTAGCACCAAAGCACCCACCAGAGCCAGGGGTCTCTGATATCAAGCTAGGTAGCACGGTGCTATGGAAAACCAAGAAACCCTAATGAGCACAGTCGATTTGCTATAGAGATAATGGCTGTTATATATAAACTGTGTCACACATATATGTGCTGCGCGTGTGACGGAAAGAGAAACTGTAGGCATCTGTGCTAGAAAGAAGAGACCTGGGTTCTGTGCAGACCTTTGAAATATTTTTTTTTTCTTCTTTTCTCTCCCCCGCTGCGGCGAAGGAAGGATGCAGGAGAGGAGAGACCCAAGGAAACCCAACGGGCAGGCGCTGACATCCTACGGCATCGTTCTTGGCAGAAAAGAGCACGCAGAGATGCTCCGCGGGCTGGGAGGGAGGGAGCTTTGGGGAAATGACTCTTTGCTTTAATTTCTCTTTGTTCTTCATTGCATTTCGTTCTGTAAGCCTGTTGGAAAGAAACATAACTTCCCAGTTCTAACAATGTTTTGCAATTATCCCTGCAATTACAGCAGTTTCTTCTGAACCGTGAGTCCCTGTCTTATATTGGGTCTCTTTTGCTCCTGCATCATATCATCAGTAGCCTGTTTCCAGGCCCACCCCTTTTCTAGCATCTTTATCTTCTTTCCCGGTTATGGTAGTGTCTGCAGGCAACCTGTGGGAGCCAGCTTATTCTCCTCCTCCCCACCCCCCCTTTTTCTTAAAACTGTTCCCTAGGATATAAATGGAGATTTGCTTCAAGAACATGAACTGCCACAAAGGATTATAATCTGCACACGCTGATAAACAAACACCTTCCTTGTGCTAGGGATTTGAAAGACTAGATGCTCCAAAATCTCAGAAATATTGATAGAGACAGCCCTGCACGTTGCCCGCCTCCAGGCTTGACAATCAGCAGCTCCTGCTGGCACCCGCCAGCAGGTCACCGTGTCCGAACGCCAGCTGCTAGAAGAGGTGCTGCCTGGATTCCCTTGAGTGCATGCTGGAAGCAGAGTTTGCACATTAACTCTATCATCCCGATGCCTCGGGATCGCCCGTGGCTCTGCCCTTCGCCTTTCTCTCTGGCGTGGGAAAGCTAAACCGTGACCAGCCTACGCTGTGTCATGCCCCTCTGTGGGTCCTACGTGTGAATAGTGTGCATGGCCTCAAACAGCCAGCGCCCCAAATCAGTCCTGCTCTTTTCTGGTTAGCTCTGTGCACCTCAAAAGCAGTGCCGTAAGTATGACCTTCGGGTGCAGGTAGGCAACAGATAATTCCTCGCGCCTGCGAGTGACGGAGGATAACAGGCGCTCTGCATTCAAGGCATCTTTAAATACAGCTCCCGGCTTTAACAACCTCACACCGTATCTTGTGTGAGCCCTCATTATACTTTCTACTGCATATGCATGGTTTCTTTTTTTTTTTAAATTTTTAAAAAAAAGCAATTAACAGTTATTTGGATAAGAATGTCTCACCATATGTCAATTGTTCTGCCAGCAAATGCTGTGCTGAAATTTTTAGAAAAGGAACAAAAGGGTTTCACATACATTTCCCAACCGTGCTGTCACCGAAACCGATAGACAATACACTCGATGGAAGAGCATTCAACCTGTGTCCAGGGTGTCATGTGCTGCAAACTGTATTTTAAAATGCCGCTGATAATAATTTGATCATTTTAAGGAAAGTAATTGATTCTGTTCTTCCCCTCCCCCTCTCCCCCCCTCCCAACGTGCACGAATCCCAAAATAGTTATTTACTAGCTGGCCAAAAAAAAAGAGAAGGCTGGCCAAAAAAAAAGGAGAAGGAAAAAACAAGGTGAGATGAATCTCTATCCTCCTGTGATCTGGGTTTATCCCAGCTAGAGTAGGTTTGGTGATAAATCGTCTGCTGGTGTAACAGCGAGTCAAATGTGGCCCTAACGCACCTAGCACTGGCTACGGTGGTTGATGGCTGCCGTCAGCTGCAGGTTAATTCAAAAGGGTGTCAGGACAAACAAGGAAAAGAAAGGAAAACAAGAAAAGCCCCGGATTTCACCTGGAAAGTACGGCCCCTAGAAAGGCAGACCCCTACCTCCCTATGTGCGGCTCCAGCACGTTTGCTTGTGGTAGGATCAGAAGAGTATTTCCGTGTGCCCGCTCCTGTGGTGTTTTAACCCAGGTGACACTAGCGCCGGAGAAGATCTTGAGGAACTTCTTTGTCATCCGTTTCTCCCGGAGATCGGTGGATGCATAACTCTGAATTGGATCAACTGTGGAAGGAGTAAACGCACTGACGTAAGCCTATGAATTGGGTTTATAATATTGCTAAGTTTACCCAAATTTGCTAGATATCGCTCCTCTGGCCCTTGTTCTCCTCAGAGCACTCTTGAAGGGACTCCTTTTTCCCTTCGAGGTGTCTCTGCCGCTTTTCTTTCCCATCCCTGGGGTCATGCTTGACGGAACGTGTCTTTTGGGACGTGGATTTTTTTTTTCCTGCTGTTCCTTCACCTTGTTTCCAGCCGACTGCAGTTTTGCAGTAGGAGGCCTTGCAGGTAGTACCTCTGCGTGGTGCGCATCCCGTATGTTTCTCTGTGGTTTCCGTACCGGGTGATTTTGATTGAAACAGCCTGTCATAACAGGTGGGGGAGGAGTGGATAAATACCTCGGGAGGAAGGGGAATAAACACATTAGGTGTCTCTCCTCTCAATTCCCCTTTTGTGCGGTCGCTGTGAAAAGACCAGGATTGAAGGGCTCCCTCCATCTAGGTACGTGAGGGAACCGGCCCCACAGGGCTGGGAATGAACTCGGCGAGCTCAACTTTGAGCTGTACGAAATGTCGAGGAGATCCGAGGCGGCCAGGTCCTCAGCTGGGGTGAACTGAGCTCCGCAGAGCTGTGATAACTTCAGCCAGTCTAGTCCCCTGAATGTAGCTCTGCTCTTGTTTCTGTCGTGCTCGCCCATGGGCAACGTTAACGGAGCTGTAGGCTGCCATTATCCGCCTATCGGATGTCACTCTCGCCATTGCCAGCCTCGGTTTTAGCGAGGGAGCCAAAGGGAGAGCCCCGCGGGAGGCTGGCTGCTGAGGGGTGACGGTTCAG